ATATATATATATATATATATATATATATATATATATATATATATATATATATATATATATATATATATATATATATATATATATATATATATATGAATGTATTTTTAATAAAAAAAATATATAGAATAAAAACAGCCATGGTGCAGCAAAAAGTTATTTTGAAACCTTTATTATTGCATAATTTCACTAACAACACATAGCTACGAGCAACAAGTTCTCCATCCATTCATTAAAAACTCATTTCTTCATCATTCATCATTTATCTTCATCCTGAAAGCTGCTTTGGACTAACGATCACATCAGCGACGATGACACTAATGAGGGATTGTGGGTGGACTGCAATATGACGTGACGTTCACGCGTGTTTTTTTCATTTGCAAAGAGTCGATGCTCCTTCAGCTGTTATTACTGGAAAATGATCAGCGTCTACACTTGATGAAGCCAGACGAATGGAGCGGCGCTAAAACAAGACTCCCAGACAGTCATTAAGCTCGGTTACGCCAAATCAAAAGGTCGTGAGCAGATCTACTGATGAAAGAGGAGAAAGTCTCCATCCGTCAGAAAGTGGGTTTATTACAGCCGGTAAATGCCATGCTAAAAGAAATGTTCGACTAGAGGCTCTATTAAGTAATCGTCCTGCTGCAGCTTTCATTGTGAAGATCTAGTATGTTTACATAAAGGCACAATGTAGTGTTTTAGGCTTGTTGAGGTGACATTGTACTGTAAAATGCTTTTCTTACTTAAAGCTTTTGTCCTAATATTGTTTTGATTTCAGCAATATATGTCAAAATTAAGTGATTTTTTTTAATAAAACACGCAAAATTATCTGCCAATGTGATAAGTAAATTAACAAGATTCTTTTGTTTACCCAGTTGGCAGTTCATTTTGTCTGTTTTAAGGGGAAAAAATACCTTAATTTTGTCGTATTACTTCTAAAAAAAGGAAGATATGGAGGCAATATAGAGCCTGTACAAACTGAAATCTTTAATGAAGCTGTCAAGAAGCACAGCATTCAAAGCATCTGCTTTACAATGGCATGCACTATGTTGGCTGAATTGGTCACATGACTGCATCGCATGACTAAAATGCATCCTCATTTTACTCGTGCATCATCCTTTTGAAAGCCTCTGTTTTCAGTCCTCACTGAAACACTTAAAATTTATAATAATAATAATTATCATCTTAATAATAATCATAATAATAATAATAGAAATGAAAATGACTCAAGGTTCTCTCAAGGTTTTTTTTCTTCACTCTCCTTTCGGGTGAAGTTTTTTTTCCCTCTCCGCTGTCGCCACTGGCTCGCATGGTTCAGGATTGGTAGAGCTACGCATCGATGAATTTGCTCTTCAGTGTTTGAACTCTCAGAAATGATTTTAAATCACACTCACTGAACTGAGCTAAACTGAACTGAACTGAACTTAAACACTAAAAACTGAACTACACTGTTATAGTTACTATGACCATTTATGTGAAGCTGCTTTGACACAATTTACATTGTAAAAGCTCTATTATAACATTATTTCAGCTATTATAACAAAGCTGAAAAAAGCTGAATTAATAATAATTCATTCATTTTACTTCAGTTTAGCCCCATATTTATCAGGGGTCGCCACAGCGGAATGAACAGCCAATAATTCCAGCATATGCTTTACACAGCGGATGCCCTTCAAGCCAATTTAGTTCATCCAATTCTACTATAGCTCATGTGATTGGACTGTGGGGGAAACCGGAGCACCCAGAGGAAACCCAATGCCAACACGAGGAGAACATACAAACATACAAACAAAGAGAAATGCCAACTGGCACAGCAAGGACTTGAACCAGCGAT